CTTACCCTCAATTCTTGTGTTCATCCTTCGAGATAGATACAGGATTTGAGATAAAGTGCTCTTTCATCTAAACTATGAAAATTATGGGGTCAGTTTGACTTCATCTTTTTCAAAACTAAATTTTTTAAAACGTCCTTCCGAAGCGGGCAACGGGATTTCAAATTCCGATGACCGACAGCTTCTTACGGGCAAACCCCACACCAAAAATAGTGCCGACAGACTGCAAATAAATTGAGTTGATCCTGATAATAACTTGCTTAGGCTTGAGATCATTATAAGAATCCTATAGGGTATGAGCTTCATTTGAGTATTTATAGCAGTGTTCTTGCTCTATTTATTTAAAAATTTGGTTGTTTGAACTTGGCTTGTTAACTACCAATCAAACTTTATTGAGCCTATTAAATAACAACACTATCAAGTAGCATTAAGAAGTCGATTAAGGAGCATTTTTTGTATTTAAAAAATGAGATTTTAATTCAATGAACTATTGAATAAACAATCATTTTAACATGCATAAACTAGTAGCTTGTGTTTATGAACAAAAGCAACCTAATATAGAAAAAATATGACTTCCAAATAACCATATATTACATAAATTTATAATCCATCATAAATGAGCATATTATCAAAACTTAATCAAACTTTTTAAGGAGCTTGTTCAAGAGTTGTAGATAATATTATTTATAAATTAATGAGGCACCAAGCATTCAAACATATTAATTTATGAATGGAACATGTATAAAAAATATTCGTATTTGTTCAATTAGTTAATTAAATGATCTTGAACGAGTTCTAATTGAAAAAATAAACTATTGTCAAGAAAATAGGCGCCCTATCACCACATTGTAAAGCTGTAATTAATCTCTGGTGTGCGCAAAATTTTTTATGTTACACTTGATTGGATTAAGAAGGCAAATGAGTAATGCAATTAAACACCTGGCAACTATCTACTTATATAATGCATAGAGGTAGTAGGTTGCGAGTATTTAAGGGATAGGAAGTATAATTGATAGAGGGTGATACGTAATATAATTGTAAAGGTTGGGTAGAGGATGGTAGGTAACAAACTTGTAGGGGGTAGGTGTAGATTGGCAGTTAAGAAACTTGTAGGAGTTTGAGGAAATTATCTGCATTTCTTAATAATCTTTTACTTGGAGATAAAATAGATAAAATCTCTGATACATTGTCTTAAGAGATCATCTTTTTGTTGCAATCCCTCTCAATCATTTATAAGGGTTGTCAACTAATGCTTTATAGTTTCTCCTGCCATCAATGATAAATCTATTAGTCTTTACCATTACATTTATTATAAAATCATGCTACTTTTTAATCCTAGTATTCCCTTTGCTTTGCAACACTAGTCTACCCTTTGGAAGGTCCTGCTTAACAAAAACTTTTTTTAGCATTGTTCCATTGTTCTAATTCATCAGCAAAAGATTTAATAGTCACTTTTATTATTTTGGTGTTTGATGCCATGTACATGGTGTCATCCTTTCTTTTATATGCTATCACCAAGGCATCCTTGGCTATCTTCCAATTATAAGTATACAATTGCAATCTTTTTTAACAATCAGCCTAATTGAGATCCAAGTTTCTATTGATTTGTACACTGCCAACTCCCACAACATTGAGGGGTTTATCATTGCCAGGATTAACATTCCTGCAATCTTTTATAGAATAGTTAAGTATGCTTTCTTTATATGAAGTTAGTTGAAAAGGACTACATTTAGTGTTACACTTTATATGAAGTTAGTTGAAAAGGACTACATTTAGCATTGAATATTTTATAAGAATATCTCCATCATGGACTAGTGCATCATAGATCTCGTCATTTGCAACATTCATGCATTCTTCCATTTGGTTTAAACTCTACCCACCATTCCGCTGCAAACTATATCTCATCGTATGGCTAGTCTTGATACATCGTAAGTACGCATGCTTGTGAATTCTGTATCGGTTCTTCTGTTGAGATTTAGATCCATCTCTATTGTTGTCTCTTCTTGCACTTCGTACTTTTCTCTCAAGGTTTATAGCAACAAAAGAAGTTTCACCTGATTCTAGTCTCCTGATGGCCTCACTTAATATCAAGTCAAGGATATCATTTAGATTCAGCTTCATAGACACGCATGAACTATTGAAAATTCTCACAATTTCAATCCGACTTTCTGATTTGTGTCAATCACAAAAGCACCTTCATCCATCTCAAAACTAAAAAATTCTCATTAAATCCATCTTTTTACCATTGAAAGCTCATCAAGGCAACCTTCTTGCCATTGGCAGGCATACATCTTCAAATGCTTCCCTATCTAATAGATTACAGTCTTCTTGGCTCATGGTTGTTGGCCTAAACTCAAAGGTCGTTATATAAAACACTTTTGGCACATGCAATCCTTAATCTTCATCTTCTAGCAATCTTAAGTTATTCTGATTTCATAACACATAAATCTTCTTACCTATAACTAGTACAAGTTTTAATTTCAACAGAGAACGAGTGATTTATCAGCCAGAAAATATTGGTCTGGCTTGAAATTTTCACATGAAATTGCTAATTTGTGAAATGCCTGCTTTCAGGGATATACCAACGGCATTTCCCAGCTTTGTAATGAAATCCGAAGTTGATGAAGAAGAAGTGGATTAACAAGTAATGCTTATGTTCTTCTCAATTTCTTCTTTGTTTTTCTTCATATCTTTATCGTTAAAATATGGAAGGATTACTCTAACCAAAGACTTTTAATTCCTTGCCTGAATTTTCTGTTGTTGAATATAGGGCTGTAAACGAGCCGAGCTTGAGCGAGCTCAGGCT